ACTTAATATGTGTCTCTTATTATGTTGAGCATCCACCATCACATCTTTGATTGATTTTGCCCCCTGCCACCTGGACCTTCGCCTCACCTCGACGTCCTTGCCTCTTAGTGCCTGCACCTCGACACCCAGCCTTCACCTGGAGCCTGCACCTCGGCACCCAGCACTGCTCATTTGGTGTCTACACCTCGATTCCTTACCTCTTGACGCCTAGACCTATGCCTTGTCTAGCACCTCGACGCCCTTGCCTCATAGCATCTGCAAATCGTCACACATCACCGCCTCACCTTGCGCCCAATGCCTGCATCATGCGCCTAGCGCCCTCTGTCATTGCATATCGCCTGCCAAGGGCACCGGCGTCTTGCTTGCCAAAACGCGCCAATGTCCATGCTCCCTCATCGCTTGTGAACACCCGTGACTCTTCCTGCTAGCGCTCGTGCTCCTTCACCGACCACTGGCACCCTTTGCGCCTTGCATCCCACGCCACACAACTGCGACTGTTCATGGAATGAAAGATTTTGTGGCAAAATACTCAAAAGGTAAGGGTAAAAAAGTAGATTATTCTACTGATGCCCCTCTCCCCCAAATCCCATTGGACTCCGGATATGGGGCAAATGACGGGCCTGACCAAAACTAGGCCTAGATCACAGATATAGACCAAACCCAGATCACAGATACAAGCATGACCCATATCACAAATACATACCCAAGTCTATTACTAACGCAAGTAGAGATCTCCACCTTATGAAGGGAATCACGGAACGTGATCATCGGGGTGTGCATCGCCAACTTCACAAGACCACCTCACTCGTTACGTTAGCATCACGAAATCACCGCGCTCCCCGTTATGAGGGTGACGCCTCATTTAGGGCTCCTCGTAATTGCATCTCAATTAAGGCTCTCTCTAAGGCGCTATGAAACTTTACTCGCTTATAAATTGTAAGTTCCGGCTACACATGAGGGTCATCACACAAATCTCAACACTATACACACTTGAATAATGAGACTCTCCGGCCATCGTAATCATTTCTAGTAGAGTGGGTCACCCAAACCAAACTACCTAATATGTGTCTCTTACTGTGTTGTGCATACACCATCACATCTTTGATTGATTATGCATAAACACTTTTGTGCATCATCAGTTATCGTAAGATTTTCTTGTTAAACTAGGAAGTAATATAATAACAAAGAGTCCTACCTTATTTACAACTTTTGGGTATGAGTCTTGATAACAAAAATATTGTCTTTCCTAATATATGCCTCAATTCCAAATAAATTAAAATAAAGAGTCCTATTGTTTACAAAGCAAACACTAAAAAACTTAAAATGCTTCAACCATTGCAAGCAATAGAAAAGCAGACGAGAATATATGCTAAAACTAGACTTCATAACAAGATGAAAGATGATTTTCTCACAAACTCTTTAATTGTTTATATAGAAAAAGAAGTTGCTAAATAATTAAGCATAGATTCAATGATAGATGAATTCCGCAATAGAAAAGAACGTCGAGATCCACTTTAATAGACGTCTTGTGACTCAGAGATATGTAATAAAAAGTTATTCATTTAGTTTATTTTTAGTTTTGTGGATATCTTTATTTAGATTTAATATTCATTATTTTGTTTGATTAACTTTTGTACATAAATATCATGAGATGCATCAATGACTTTAAAAGATAAAAGAAACCATAAATTCAACGTTACCTTGGATCGATAGCATGTAATATAGAAAAAAAATAAAATAAATATTTTAGAATAAAAATAAATAATAATGACTTAGTTAAACTAAAATATTTTTTAGAGTAAATAACAAAAAATAACAATGCCCAAATTTGATCAAAAAGTATTTAACAAAGATCAAATTTATGTGATTTGAACCAATAAAATCATTAAATCATAACTCAAAAATTTTACCTAAATCTTTTATGGTAAAAACAAACTCCTAAGTTGATAAAATTTATGTCTTTGTCTCCTCATTTTTCCCTCTCTACTCTTCCTCTTTTATCTCCTTTCTTTTGCTGTCCTAATGCCTCTACATTGGTTATTTGTAGGCTAATTTTCATCCCACATTAAATGGGTGAGACCTTGAAGCTTGCATCAGCATGGACATTTATCCATGCATTTTCTTCTTCTTCATTTTTTTAATACAATTGTACTTTTACATTTTGTCCCTAGTTATTTAAACGACACTTGTCACCTTTATAATTATATATATATATATGTGACACAAATTTTACACACCCATTATATCATTTGTACACATTGAATATTTGATATACTGACCAAAAAAAAAATTATTTGATATGATATTTTTATTCCTACACAAAACACAATTTATATTATAGTTATTCAATTTATTTTTCATTTAAAGAATTCATATTTGAGGTTTATTTATTTAATTTTTTAAAAATTACTCTTAATTATATAGAAACATAATTTATGAGTATAATTGTATATTAATTATAATTTTTTAAGAAAAAATAAATTTTTATTTTTAATTTTATTTTAATAAATGATACAATAGAATATAAATTTTAATTGTAAAATTTAAAAAATTTAATATTTTATTTTTAATTAAAGTATTTTTGGTCTAAATATAATATTTTAAATTTAAAGTGTCTAAGTATACGCCTATAAATTTTAAGAAGTCTGGGTATAATTTATTAACGAATATATTAAAGTGTTACGTACGTGTAAACTTTATGGGATTTGTGTGTAATATTTTAAAAATTTAAATAATGAAATAACAAATTTGAGTCTAATTTTTTTCTAATATTTTATCCACCGTCCATCGGTGGTTATGAGGTAAAAAAACCCATACCTTTGAACGCCAGTAGAGGTGCTCCAGTTCCAATCGACACTTCAAGCAACACCCTAAACCCAAACACCCCACGTCTCTGTCTCTCTCCCTCTACCTGTACGTCCACGCTCGAAGCCTCCAATTGCGCCTCTAAACTCAAACACATTCTATAATTCAATCAATATTTCTCACATCCCAACTCAGTCAGGTTCTACAAATTAGTTTTGTTTCTCTGTGTTATTCGATTCCTTTGTTTTCTTTCATTAGTTCTATATGATTTTAATCTACAATTCGGCGTCGTTGGCAGCTAATGGTTGTTTTTGAGGAGGATACTCTGTAAAGATTTTCCAGGAAGATTAATCGTTTACCATGTTCTAAGTAAGTGCAGATTTGTAGAAAAATTTTCACTAATTTTATGGTTTTAATTTGTCTTTTGACGGTGAACGAGTGCCATTCGAGTTTATGTTTGATCGCAGAATTAGGATATTCGTTGGTATGCCTGCAATGTCATCTTCATCGTATTAGGAAATTCTTCGGCATTCCTTCATTTACAAACAACATGGGACGGGTATATGCAATCAGTTTGCGATGTTGATAGTCATAAGTTGTTCAACAATTAGGGTGACTGGGAGTTATGTAGTCCTTATAATGCCTGCTTCCCCCCATTTATTTTTGTTTACGCGATATGATTTCTATTCTCGAATGCTTTCATTGCTATTCCTCCACTTAGGCTAGTCATTTTTGTTCTACATATTTTATTACTCAGATTGCCGGAACTCCATGTGTTTTGAGTATCCTCAAATATTTAGTTGAGGTTCTTGCAAGATCATGGCTCCAGACTGACATCCATGATGCTGAATTGTTTTTATCTCTGTTTAACATATTTACCACGACACTTACTAAATTGTTGTCGATTTTCTGTCCACTTCACTAAGGGAATGCTATTGCCAAAATTTGTTTGTCTTCAATAATTTTGAACGCATCAGCTGGATATAATTTTCATCTCATCGACATAATACAAGTAAAACGAGTTTGAAGCATGGTGGTTTCAAGGTTGCATCCAGTTGGGATAACCTTAGCTGAGCATTTTGCCAATGCATAACCATGGCGAACATATAGGTTGGGATAGTCATAGTTTTTATTTTACTAACACTTTCTTTGATCAGAAATCAGAATGGTTCGAAATTTGTAACCCTTAAATGACTAACCTGCTGTGAATGGATACCCTGGTTTGATGTAGTTTTAAAATCTTAACTCCTAGAAGCCATGGATCCTAGACTACTCATTGAAATTGAGTAAAGAGTTGTATGTTGGGGTGCATGTTGGGAAGTGTTAATGTGAGAAGCCAACTGGCTGACCTCAAACAGATTGTATTAGTAACAGAGTTGTTTGTCTCGGTTCTGAAACTAGTAGAACTTGCTAATTAGTTTGATTCTAAGTTGGATAGATGGGGCAAAGTTTTCCAAATCTACCCTAGAATCAACCATCACATATATAAACTTTCATTGCCCCTGGCCCCCTGCTAAGCACCCCCGGTCCTGGTTCAGTGGGCTACATGAGTTGCTCAAAGTGATTATATATTGTGAACTTCTTAGCACACTGATCACCATATATAAACCTGATTAGTCGTCCAAGATTTCTGTCCTTTAGTTTCTGGCCGTTGAATTGTTCCAGCTTTCTCCTCTGTCCCCACCAACAAAGACTTTGGCCACCTCTTCCACCTCTATTATCAGTCTAAGTTTCTTTCTTTGTTTCCAATTTCTTTTTTAGTACAACTAGAGCTTTGCTAATTATATTTCTTATAAGGCCTTCTTTTCTGACACAATGTAGAGGTCAACACATCCATGTTGTTGCTATGACCAACTCAACATGAATTGTGCGAAGGAACATCTAATTGCATTAAGCATGCTTGATTTCAGCTGTGAGGTGCAGCCAACGTTCTGTCAGATTTAATCAAGCACTTGGTCCTCATGGGCTAAATATAAGGATATAGCTGCTTGTTTGTGTCTGGTTGTGTATTCGACTCTTTTTTATCTTTGTGTCTGGTTGCGTGTTTGACTCTTGAGTCATCTCAGTTAATTTTTTTTGCTGGAATTTAATGCATATACATGACGGATGGTAAATATCAGGAGATGACAATTGCTATATATTGATTTCTCCAACTCACAGGCTGCATTTAATTGTGGAAGAGTCTGCACATTACAATGGCTGCTTCTGCAAAAACTCTCATTTGTGAAAAGGCCAACCCAACTGAAGAGTGGACAATTGTTTTACCTCGTCGTGGCAGACAGAGAAGGTATTTACCCAAAGTTATCACACCAAAACAACAAGAAGAACAATCATGGGCTCCGGTTGATCTTGAAACCAATCCTGAAAGAGAATTAAAATTGATGCAGAAGATGCAACTCTGTATTCAGAAACTGGAGAACTCTCCGTTCTTCCATACACTTTTGGATCAAATCCTTACTCCCGAAAATTTGGATCGCTTTTTTAAGGTTTTAGGCGAAGAATTAAATATGCAGATGGTGATATATGGTTTAGGTAGCATTGAATCATTTGAGCCCCCTCGTTTGCAGCTTAGCCTCGCAATTGTGCTGAAGCGAAAGTTCAGTTGGATTGGGGACATTGAGGTGTTTGATCCGATTATTTCATTGACAGAAGCTAGGGTTTTGGAAGCTCTCGGCTGTTCTGTTCTATTAGTCAATGAACATGGGCGACGACAAGCTTTGAGACCAATGCTGTTCTTCATGCCACACTGTGAGGCAGAGTTGTATGACAATCTGCTGCATGCCAATTGGAGAGTCGATCTGTTGAATCGCATAGTGCTGTTTGGGAACAGCTTTGAGGCATATGAACAACAAATGTCAATGTTCAGAAACTCAACTGTTGCTGATTCAAGGAAGCACATCTTGGCTTCTAGGAGGTTAACAAAAGAGCTTGGAATTAATACCTCTTCAGACGATTTTTTTCGAGCTTTTCATGGTTCGGGTTGGCATTTTTTTACCGTCGGTCATGAGGCAGACCTTCATCCTGTTGGAGTATGATTGAATTTATAAAGGAGAGCAAGCAACTGCATGAAGTTTGAGACCTATTTTTTTGTTTATGATATTGAAGGAAATGATTCTATTTCTGCTTCAAAAACTCAATTATGTGCGTGCGTTTGCATCTGTATCCGTAGTTTGTCCCCTTTCACCCTATAACAACTTCTGCACATCATGCTCAATTACCAGTTTGAGGAATGATTTCGTTTAATACCCCTTTATGCATTTGTGATCTTGTTGATACCCCTGTCCCTAAACTAGTGTTTTACATCTCTTCATTTTTACATCTTCTCATTGTACTATCTAGGTTCAGTGATAGAGTTTTTTTAATAGTTTTCTAGCAAGAATTTACAGAATTTCATTTCTTGATGAAACTCTAGATATATGTTTATTGTCAAGAGTCTAAAGGGTGCAAAAAGCATGACACATTGGAGTAAGCTTAGCAGATGCAAGATTGAAAATTATGTTGGCAGGATTGAGATTAAAGTTATGTGGTGTTTCTCTTGAGGTTGAGGTTTCAAGCTTAGTATGCATCTGCTAAATATGTTAGCATGAATTTATCTTTATATGTTTTGGATTCTTTCATTCAGGTCCCATGTACATGGACGACAATATAGAGGTGAGAAAAATAGAGAGAGATATTTGCAAACTGGTTGCTTGATTGTTGTTCCCCTCTCAATGGAATCTGATCAATTTAATAAATCTGGAAAACATAATGTTTGACATTCCGTTGGTAACATCAATTGTCTAGTTCTTGAGCTGTTATAATTCGATGATGCTATTTGGAAGAGGTAAAATGTAATGTGGAGTAAGTTGGTATCGTGGTTTTTATTTTTGTATTGAAGTTAAGCATGATCAGAGGTTATTTTTGCACTTTTTTTCTTAATAATTTTCATCTTATTTTTGAGCTTGTCTTAATAGTTTGATTTACAGCTTCATTCTAAATCACAGGCATCTATTGGCAGAAATGACTCCACAAGATTATCAATAGACCAGCTGTGACTTTGTATCAGGATTGTGCCACTGCAGTTTGATTAAGCCTTATGTGTTGCCACTCACTTTGAAGTTGGGAAACTGTCCTTTGAGCAAGGTGTGCTCTCACATAACTTAAAGAACATAAATAAAAGAGAACTACCAGATCTTTTTCATAATGATAGATGTGCTTCATTTTATCCCGAGTTCTTTTTAGAAGATAGATTGTTATTTCCACTATCCACATTGAGGGGAATAATATATTGTTGGTAATATAGATTTCCCCAGGAAACTAAAATTTATCGTTTGAAATTTTTTTGTAATCACGGATTTGTATTCTCCTAATTATATAACCACGACTTTTACACTGGAGCATGTTAGTGTATGTTTATTGTTCTTCTTCACCTTTCTCTTGACTATTCTAGGTACACTAGAACTCTTGAAATATCATTTCTTTTCTTTGAATTACTTTATCTGACTGCAATTACTTGAAATTGTTAAGCATTCATTTTGTATGTTACTCATTGTCTTAAATCATGGAGGTTTTGTTTGATTGTTTGCACTTCAAATCATATTTCACTATGAGCGATTAGTGTTTATCAAACCGGTAAGGGAAGTTGTTCTGTCAGAATCTAATCGGGCCAGGCATCAAAAGGTACATAGAATATTTGCATGACTTATGATACCGCATTGTAGAAATACTTGTGCACTGCTAGGATCACATATCTCTTGACATAATGAATCATTTCTTTGTTGTAATCTGAGGTCGGAAGTGTTCATCCTCTCAAGCAAAACATTGTGGGTTCAAATCTGGGAATCAAACACTTCTAAAATGAGGAAAAAGTAGACGGGAGCCTTGTCTACTATGTACTACTTTTTTTCCCCCCCTTTATGTTTATACTTAAAATCCATTCCAAATGAAATGAAATAAATAGTGAGGCAACGGTCAATGATGTGTCAGTATTGGTGTTGGTTATGGTTGTAGGGGTGTAGGGATGGCTTTCTTGTGGTGGTGGTTGTGATGGTATCTGGTGTTTGGGGGCGGTGTTGGTGGGTGATTGTGTGGTTTTCATCATGTTGGTAGTGGTGTGCATTTTGGTGGTATATGGATATTAACTTTGGTGTGGCTCTTTCCTTCTTTGTGGTATTTTACACCCTCAGTTTGTGTCATATTTGTGTTATAATGGGATATCCTTCAAAGGTCTTTCTTTCTAGACTTGTATTTTTTATTTGATTCATATGATACACTGACAGTGTGTTTTTGTCTTCTTTTCTCACCGCAATATATTGGGTGTAACGGTTATACCATGTTAATGGTGTCTTTGCAAGTGAATCTCACAAAAATTCATAATCACCTAACCATATAATATATAACTACCTCCATATAAGAAAGTGGGATCTATTTTATTCATTTATAATTTTTCTTTTAGATGATTACATAACGTGATACTGTTGACGTAGTGTAACAATTACAACCAATATTTACCCGTCAAAGTGGATGAAAGAGTTCCATTAATAAAACAGCAACTATGATCCAAAATGTCATTTTTTAATACTTCAAAAAAAAGTGATACATATAAAATTATTTTATTTTATTTTACTTTATTATGCTTATAAGCAATCATTATGAATAAATCACATAAAAGTTTATAATTAGCTTTTTTATTATGTATTATTACAAAGAGAAAAATAACAATGCTTGAATCTGCAAGTTATTACATTGGACCGGTGACACAATATTATCAAGTTATTTACTAGTCTATCGTATTTTGAAAACTATATTATCGATTTACAGTACTTTTGAACTTATTTATCAAGAGAAATGCTATTTGAATTTAAAATATGGACTTGATAAATTACAATCATTAATAGTTAGTGAATCTCAATATTTATTGAGATTCACAGTAAAATCAATAAAAATGATTGATTAAATTCACATTTTAAGTTTATCAAACTACAATATTTTTTAGAAAAGGAGTCAACAAGTTCGCTTTTGTTAAGAAATTGTGTCAATAATCTCGCTTTTAAATAAAAAAAATATGGTCAATAGTTATAATAATTATAGATGAAAAGCATGACTAAACACACTTTTGTGAAAAAAACATGTTTAATAAACACATTTTTTACCTTTTGTGTTCAATATTTAGTTGTAGTGACGATATGAAAAGTGTGTTTACTAAATACGTTTTTTTCACAAAAATTTGTTTTTAGTAATCACGAGTTTTAACTATTTGCCCACAAATTTGTTGCAATTAGATTATATTTTTTATTTAAAAATGGGGTAAAAATGAATTTATTGACTTTATTTTTAAAACGTGTCATAGTTTAATAAAAAATTTAAAAATATTATAAATCGATAATAAAATTTTAAAAAGACGATATACAGGTAAATAACTCCAGCAATATAAATAGCACGCCCAACAAATTTTAACAAGAAATAGCAAAGAAATAGCCATACGTATCCCATCCTTTCCTTTCAATCATCGCCTGGCCCCCAACGACCACTTTTCAAAAAAGCTTCCCTCCCTCCTCTGTCGCTGTCTCTCTCTCAAATTTCTTTCAATCCACGCTTGGCCTCCAAAAGCACCGCCTACGACAGAGCCGGCCACCTACCAACCAATCCACCGCCGAGTTTAATCCATTTCCATCGTCATCACTACCCACCAGTTCCAAATCCAGCGGCAAAGATCATCCTTAGCTTTCTCTCACCACCACCATCGCCGCCACCAATCGCAGCAAAACCCTAATATTTACAACCCCCTCCCTAAAAAAAACCTAATTTCTAAAAGTTTCTTCAGTCAATATCCTCTCGATTCTCTATACCCATCACAAAAACCGTATAATTTTAACCTCAAAGACCCCGGAAAAAGCCGGAAAACCCCTAATTTTAACCCTAAACACATCGGAAAAGGGCTGAAAGGCCCAGTATTAGTCCTAGAAGCTCCAAAAGAACTCAAATTCCCTGTACATATGGCTCGATTAAGCAACGAATTGGAATTCTCGGAAAACCCCAAGGCCAAGCCATCGATCTTCAATCGATCGGTAACTATGCACGCAACCTCTACCGAATTCCCCAAACAGCCTGTCCTCTCCGTCTCTCTGGAACGCACCGGTTCAATCAAGAATTTCTACAATTCGTCTTTTGATTCTGTCAAGGGCAAGGTTAGAATGCTCCGTTCTTTGTTCGAATCCCCAAAACCACCAGATTCGCCCACCCAATTCCCACCCCAATCACCATCAAAATCTGCAAAATCGGTTGATTCTAATTCTCGGGATTCTGGGTTTTCACATGACAATTCAATTCTATTACCAGGCACAGAAGATCGAGTGGTTGTGTATTTCACGAGTTTACGGGGAATTCGGAGGACCTATGAGGACTGTTGTGCTGTGAGGATGATATTGCGGGGGTTTAGGGTAAATGTGGATGAGAGGGACATTTCAATGGATTCAGGGTACAAGAAAGAGTTACAAAATGTATTGGGTGAGAAGAATGTGTTTTTGCCACAAGTGTTTGTAAGGGGGAAATATATTGGAGGGGCTGATGTGATCAAACAGCTACATGAAGTGGGTGAATTGGCTAAGATTCTCAAAGGGTTACCTGTTCGAGCACCAGGGTATGTGTGTGAAGGATGTGGGGATGTGAGGTTTATGCCCTGCGCGAATTGTAATGGGAGTAGGAAGGTTTTTGATGAGGATTATGAGCAGTTGACGCGGTGTCCCGAGTGCAATGAGAACGGGTTGATAAGGTGCCCAACTTGCTGTTCTTGATTGCTGTGGAGATCAGTATTGAATTTGGCTTTCGTGCGTATGATTTTTCTGTTTTTGGTTGATGCATATTGAAGATTGTTACTAGAACTGATGTGGGTCTGTTGGTGGTAGGATTCCATCTCTCATTGGATTCATGCCGGTTGTTTGTTGGGGATATATGTTGATTCTCTCCGATCACATAATGAAATAGAGTGTACTTTACTGATACAAGGCTTTACAAGCCTGTTGTGTATATAATTGCTTGTAAACCTTGTATGTGGGTGTGTGTTTGTCCAAGTTAAGAGGAATGTAAATTTGCTTATATATCCATGTTGTAGCGTTTCGCTATATGGATGTATCGATGCAATATATGATTGCTGTGTGCTGGGTGTGGTTTGCAGCTTATAAGGATGATTAATGAAGAATGCATTCAGTATTAATGTTGTGCACTTGTAGTTGAATAATTGTTTATGAACATTTTTCTCACATTGTTCTATTTTCTCAAGATGAATAGTCATCGCAACATGGCTCACATCTTATTTCTTTCAAACAATCCCCATTTCCCCAACAATTTGCTGCATCTGCTTAACTATTTGAGTTGAAGGATACAGGTAAGTTATGGAATCAAATTGATGGGAATAGGGTCAATGAGATGTTTGATCCATGATGCATCCAATCCATGAATCATATTCATATAATGCCATTTTAGGGTAACATTGTATGATGAGAATGTATTATGAGTCATTTATTTTGTATCGATACTCAGATGCTATAACATTGTGGCATTTACAAACTTTGTCGTATCTGAAATCGTGAATGAAATATCATCAACTCTTATTGTATTTTCCTCCGGTTTGAATGTGTAACTTGTATCATTTGGGATACAATTAGATTTCTGAATTAATTTAACCATCTGCTCCCATGTTGTACTGCGAGATGTAGAATCGAATGCCAATTTGATGCCCGAAAACTATTTCTAACCACGGCTTAAAACTTGTGATTTTAGGTGGCATTTATTTGACACACTGGCGCTATTTTAGTCATTGATGATACTTTGTTATATGTTACTGTTTGCATAATGTTGCATGAAATCGTGAATGAATGGGAAAGTCATCCACAACTGTTATCATTAGAAGTTTGAAACTAGAGCAAATAATGGAATTCCATTACCGGAATCAATGAAAACAATTTTTATGGTCGTTGGAAATTATGTTCTTTATCTTTCAGGTTTCAGATGCATCATACATTGCATAAGAAATACCTATTTTGGTCATTCTGCCATACGACAATTATGTGCTTGAGATTTTATAATGATATGGACATGAACGTGATAATTGATTGCTATTTGTGTGTTGGTTTTCATCTTGCAATGGGAATCATTTGGAGAGCAGATAACATGTGGAAAAAATGTCATTGTCATTTGTGTTAGATTTGTATAGAAAAAATGTCGTTTCAATCAGAGAACATGTGGCGCAGGTTGGGGCTTTCATCATACTTCCCACCCAAAAGAAGTCAAGGTTCTTCCTCTTAGTTGAATTAATACAATGATGTTGGGGTTTCAGTTCTTGAATTTCCCTCTTGTAGAAGAAATATGTTTGCCAACGTTCTCATCGGGTTGATTTGATAACAGTAGCTCTTTTACTGATTAGAATGATATTATTGAAATTATATTTATTTGGAAAAATTTCAGTCACATCTTTTCTAATTATCATATCTTCTTTTATTATTCGAAATATTACTAACACCTTATTTAGTTTTTATTTAAACATCATTAACACAATCGGTCTTTAAACCTTCGTTTCTAACAAAAAAATTAATCTAAAATACTAAAATTACTCCTACATAAACCTAAACAATTTTTCTACATAAAATTTGAGCTGATTAAAGTTTTTTTTTTCACATATTAAAATTCGAGTTGAAAAAAATTAATTTTTTTTACATATTAAAATTTGAGCCAATTAAAATTCGATTCAAACTATTTAAAATTCAAGTTGAATTTATTTTTTGTGTATTAAAATTCAAGTTGATTTGAGCTCTACCTGAGTTGTTATCGTCCATTAAAATTCGCTTCAAGTTGATTAAAATTTATATTTTTTTATTTATTAAAATTCAATTCAAGTTGATTAGAATTTGATTCAAACAAATTAAAAATGAATTTTAATCAGTATGAATAGAATTTTAATCGACTCAAATTTTAATACATAAAAAAATATAATTTTAATCGACTTGAATTTTAATATATAAATTAGCTTGAATCGAATTTTAATATATAAAATTAAAAATTAGCTCGAATCGAATTTTAATACATAAAAAAATTTAAAAAATAGAGGGAGTTTCATTGAAGATATGTATTTAGAAGGGGTGTGGATGAAATTTTTCCTAAAATATATCGCCAGCAATTTACTAAAATTGTATTCTAGTTAACACTTTTAATTTGATAAGAGATGTCAGTGAAGATTCAAAAAATAGAGGGAATGTCTTTGAAGAAACGATGAACTAATGTAAAGAGTGGCAAATGTTTCTTAACCCAAATTTTTTCTCAAATTACTGTCATTATCTAATTTTATTGTCTCTAGTATGATTTCAAGGAAGAAAATGAACTGGACAGTGGTACACTATTGGTTAATGATGTGATATTATAGTTGCATTGAATATTTACTCTCAACACTCGGACACGGTCATACACGTGTGAAGGAAATCTATGCTTGGACACGTAAAGGAAACCTTAAGCACATTGCTCAAGGCATTTGACAAATGAAATTAAATTCTTTACAAGTAAGCATGTAAACAATTGTTTATACACGGTCAATCAAAATTGAGGAGTTATACAAATACATAAATCAATGTTGATGATTCTCAATGTATTTATGTAACTCCTCAATTTTGATTGATTGCCCGTAAAGAATCTGCTCTCTTTGACAAATAGTTGCAATCTAATCCATCCAGCAACCTTAGTAATTTGTCGATGGGGGGAATTCTAAGTACTTCTTATAAAAGGCCAGGTTAGGGTGAATCAAATTAGTAACATCACATTTGATAAACATTGTTGAATAGGTTGCAAGAAACATCTATTTTGAGGAGGTCAGGTGTCATGAATAATACATTAGCTAGGTAAAAAGTGTCGTATGAACTTATAAAATATTGAACGATTCTTCACCTAACAGCTTAAGTTTTTGAGTTGTGATACCGTGACAAGTGGTATCAGAGTGGGACCTAATGAGTTACAACTCTATTAGTCTTGTGGATTCCCCACTGGGGATACCAGGGTTGAGGTAGGCCCGGGCCAAGTGGGGCCACTCACTCCAATGGTGGAGTCGAATGCGACGATGGTGTCATATCTTAGGACGAGAGAAAATGTCATGAATTCCACATCAACTAGTTAAAAAGTACTATATAGTCTTATAAAATTTTAAATGATTCTTCTCCTAATAGCCTCAGCTTTTGGGTTGCGTGACCGTGACACGAGGGCTCTTTACCACAGTAATGTGCTAGGAAAATATTTTCATTCAAAAGTGGTTCAAAGGTACAAAGAGGTTGCAAGAGGATTTCCTATAGATTGCATGGTCAAAAGGAAGGTGTCATTTCACATATTTTTGAAAGCTGTATCAGCTTCGTGGTACAAAATTGCTTGTTCCTGTTGATCCCTGCATTCTTTTTGAGGTGATTGAGAACTGTCCTAACCAGGTGTCCTTTATTAGGATACACTCGATCACTCATCTACTACGCATATTGGTAAAATCAAATTTTTTTTTTGCAAGACTCAAATCTAAGAATTACGGGATAATAATCATAGAACCTTCTCATTCGAACTACCCTGACAGGTTGATCATTGCAACTTGATATTAAAGAGGTTGAATGAAATTCTTCTCAAGTGTCGTGTGCAAATATAAACAAAGATTTTAAGAAATTGGTGGATTAGCATACCTGTTGATCTAGTCCTTTCTTTCCTTCTTGTTCCTTAGCAGTGTGTCACCAAGAATGAAATTTTGGTTCATTACTATTTTTTTTTGTTTAATGGTTAAGGATATTTGAACCAATTTACGCGCACTTAGGGATGACAGTGGACCGAAGCGGCGCCTGGGGGGGTGTTGTAGTCTCCATTCCCATATTCACTTAAAAAAACTTCGTCCTTCCTCGTTAACGAGTATAATTTTTATTCTCATTCTCGTCTGCAGGTAAATTGGTAATCCCCACCTCGTCTCCTGCCTTACTTCCCCCCCCCCCATCTACCTTACCCGCCCAAGCCCAAACCCAAGTCCAAGCCAACATAATCCAAAATTCTAAATAAATTTAACATTCTAAATAATTAAACATAATTATAGAATATCATAAAATAACTAAAAGTTTCTCATTTACAATATAATATAATTAAAATCTTGTCTACAACATAATTCAACATAATGTAATTAAAAGTTTATCTCCCTTGTAAATCTAACATAATATCATGCAACACAACATAATATAACATAACATAATCTAACATAAAAAAATATAAAAACACAAAGATCTATACTTTTACATGCCAAAATCTTGAAATAAAATCAAAAAATAAAATAATTTTTAAAAGAAAATTCATTCAATAATATGTAGATTTGTATTCACAGCAACATGTATATACATAAAATAATAATAATTGGTAAAGTGGGGTAGGGTAAGTGTCAATCCATCTCTGCATTCATCCCTACATAGGTTTATATATGAGTATCCACGTATATGTCCACCGTGCAATTCGTATGGACCATCCCCGATCCAAACGAGATGGATTTGGACAAATACTCATTTTTACGCGGTCCATTGCGATCCTTACGTGCACCTTGATTGATCTCCTCTCCAGTCTGGTGAAAGGCAGACCATTCACGTCGGGATTATAGTATTCAAGGGAGATAAATTTCTTATAGCCTGACTCCAAAAAGTTGCTAAGATTCAAATTTAGAACGTCTGAATTTACGACTTGTTCTTTACTAAATGTGTAACATTTGAAGTTTTACGTTTACAAAATTAAGTATGAATGAGAAGGTCATTCACTCTGGATATTGAATGAAACTGCATTAGAGATATCCGATGCACATTGCCACACATGGTGGTGGTTTTAGACTTCAGAAGGGAATGGCCACTTCCAAGTTCCATTGTCATTTCTGAAAATCTCATTTAGACATTGGAAGCACCATTCTTGGACCCTTCAACCTTTCAGATGTTTCACACTATGGTTGTGCTTCCCTTTTATTTATTTATTTATTTTTTTTTTTGGGGGGGGGGGGAGTTGTGGATTGACGGGAGTTGTATTAATGAGAAGTGTTACGAATGAAAAATCAAGAAAAAAATGGTGGCATCTGGAACAATAGTCAAATCTTTTCAACAAGATCAAAGGTGTGTTCACTCTCACGCAAGAGGGGAACATGCAAATTTTTGTTCATTTAAGATCAAGGATGTGGAATTTTTTTTTTTATGTTTGTGCTCCTGGTACCTGCACTGCTGATCAAAATCTATAAACTTTTGAAATGTAGTCTTAAAAGTTCTAAGGAATAAGCTTCCTTTTCCAGTTTTTTCTGTTTGGTTCCTCATTTCTGCATTGTTTCTTATTCAACTGTGTTGCCAAAAGTGGACTAAACTTTGGAGGGGGTGCATGATTTTTTTGCCCCCCTCAACACCCCGCGGCTTGGCAGGAAAAAAATAGAGGAAAAGGAGAAGACATAAAAGGCAAAATACAACCATCTACGAAAGGCAAAACTGATAACCATGTTTGTTAGGACTTCAATGAGAATTAAGATGGCGGAAAAACATGCTAGGGAGATGACAACTTGACCACCAAATTCGAAAATCTTTCTCCTTTGCCCAAAAGGAATAAACTTATGGATACAGATCACAGTTCCACCAGTGTCGGAATTCATGCTAACCCTGATCATGGAAAACAAAAACAAAAACAAAATGGAGGCACAAATTTGCTTCATGTGTGAAACCTGGAAATTCATATACATTAATCTGAAGCACAAAACAATGATTACATCAGAGTACAAACAAACACTTCCTCTTGGTGGCAGAACTAAGATTTGCCTCAAAGAATACTGCTGCTAGAGCAACTGAAATTACAAGATCACAATGACTACTTTTGTTTACTTCCTCAGCTTCCTTTCGCCTGCTATTGCGTGAGAGGAACACATTCAAGCTCAATCTCTAGCACTCCGCTTTCAACATTCTGCAGCTTGAGAGCAATGTCCTGCTTCACCTTCTTATCTACCAGGGTAATGACACCATCTCTCACCAGGGTGTTTTCTTTACTTGCTAACCACTTTCCGAGCTGCATTGGCTCGTTGATCTCGGAACTCTCGAAGGCTTTTGCAGCAGAGACCAGGGGTTGAATGTCAATCTCAGCCTCACCCATAAAATCATCGGCTTTGAATGTATCCTTGTCATACACAAGCTGCAAAGTGATTCCAATTTTTTGTTTAGTGAAATGGTATAAATTCACACATGAAGCTTCTGAACCTCACAATTGACAATGTATACGTGAACTTTTTGTGTATCTGATCAGTTGTGTTCATGAAATTGGATTCTTTACTTGCTGTACCAAATTAAGTTATCTGGAAAGTCAACTGACCAACTTCAGAGGAGGAATGCTTTCTGGAATGGACAACATTAGCTTTTCATTCCACACTGGGTTAAGGTTATTCTTTATGACTCGTGTCTTCACTGACTGTAACAAATATAAAAAAAAGTTACGTTACTTGAACAGTTGATTCGTTGTCCGTACCTGTAAAACTTAAGGATACAAAAGAAAAAATGAAAATTTTTTCGATAGGAAACATACATACTTGGTTTCCCAATGAGAGAATGACGTAAGGATCACTGGTCATCATATCTCGGACAACTAGCTTTGTGCCTCTGACCACATTGACCTTTATCAGTCCTACAAATTCGACCATACCTGCCTATAGACAATATGAATGTCGTAAGACTCGGGCATCCTTGTTGAACTGAAATCCTGAAGTCAGGATAAAATGGCTTAACACAATTCTAGATGAATGCAGAATGGGATGTGAGTGCCCCAACTTCAGAAACATACTTTTTCAGAAAAAAATTATGAGAAAATATTAAATGAAAAATAGAAGCTGGAATACTTTAAAAGTTCCTTATACTAGCAAAAGTTCATGGTTAGATGAATGAAAGAATCAGGGAGATATCTTTTTCTCAACATCTTCTACCCAAAAAACTTGGAAGAAAAAAATCACAATGTGGTAGGAAAGTTAAATAAGACCCCTCCTTACAACAGAATATCATTACCATAGAATTACTCTTCTTGGTGGCTTTGTGTTCAGACTCTTTCCTTCTCCAGCTGTTTCGGAATGCATGCCCAAGTCCATGGATACGGTGACCAGTTGTTTGCTTCTCATAGGTTTTTTTATCTGAGGCTGAAGCAGAAGTACATGTTGAAGAACTGCAGAGATATGATGAGGCAGACGGAAAGGGGCAGGCAATCTCTATATCCGAGTTCAAAAATTGTAGCAGCTCATATTTTCTCCTGAGAATCCAAGAAGCAGGGTATGTGATTTAAAATGGTATTCAGTACTTGAATAATTTTGTGGCATGTTTTGTTTTTTCTATTACCTAATGAAATCGGAGCGGTCCTCTATAGAGGAATCTGGCTTTGGTTTTCTGATATTGTCTGGAATGAAGGCTTCATACTTCAAATTTACTGCAGAATTTCCACCCTTATCTCTCAAACTATCAACTTGCTCATCTGTCCATTCATCTAGCTTCACTGACAAAACCTGGGAAATAAACCAAAAGTGAAATAAAATTGTTTACCGAACTTGACTAATAATCAGACTACATTATGCTGCGAAAAGACCAATCTTATCGTCCAATTGCTGTATTCAACGAAAAGTGAAAAGCGGCATTGAGTTTTTCTTTTGAGAGAACATCCCAACAAATGAGTGCAGAACAAACAAAGACAACATCTTGTCCAATTTTCTTTTATTAAGTAATGAATGAGGTAAGAACACATTCAGCAGCTTGGGAGAAAGGCTGCACTCATTTGGTTGATGGGTAGATCTTATTTATGCTACCTCCTTCATTATTCAAGGTCTTTGATTTTTAAGTAAAACAAGGGGAAAAATTAAGTTCAGGGTGAAATGGGGAGATTGAAGGCCAACTCGGCATGATTTGACTTGTTTGGCCTTCAATCTTCCAGTTAACTTGGATTGATTATTTATCTTACATATTGGTAGAGATATATAGATATATACACACACGCACATACATGTATTTATTATTTAAGACAAACAAGTTTAATTGATGCAGGACTGATAGAGTTATTCGAGGACATCGATGAATCTCCATAATCAATGTAATAATCTCATCCATTGACTGTGTCAGTACTTCCACCTGTGATTTAACCCAAGAAATATGAGGTGACAATCATTGCTCTCACATGTGATCTTGGTATGCCAAATAGTAAGGCCACACAATGGGGAGCCTCTAACACTCAATCTCAAAAAGTAAGCATCAGAGTATCCAGTGAAGGAGATTAAACACAACTAATATAACCATTTATCCGTGTTGTGAAGAAGTCATTATCATATGTAGCCTTGCCTTTCTTTCCTCAACGAATCAAGGGTGAGAGCTAGAATTTTGAGAAAATCTTTGGTGGATAAGTTCCATGATTTTCATGTTTATTTATGCCCTTTTCAAGCCAGGAATGCCTTTATTTCTGTAACAAGTCTCTTCTCCTCATGACCCTCCATTACATGGACTCAAGCGCTTGTGTCTGGAGATTCTCTGCTGTGTATCTAGGCTTGGGACTGCTTTATCCTTAAATCCAAGGAAATAGGCACAACTTAAAATCCATACTTTATAGTTTGTTTGATATTCTAGGGCAAACCGTTGTTTTGGTGTAACAGCTCCAACTTGGACACTTTGTAATATTAGATCATTTCTCGCAGAAGTGGTGACCCAATTATCCTTTCATTCCAGATTTCAAGCTTCTTACAATGTTGGTGTATGTAATTTCAACAGGCTCTATCTATTTCAGTGTTTTCAAAACATAATACAGGGTTTAGCAATTATGATCCCGTATGAAAAATACTTGATTATGTGTGAAAATTAGGAAAACTAGGACAAAGAACAAAGTATGAAGACCATACCTTTGATATATGCACTCCAAGACTTCTGTGTACTCCAGAGCACTTGATACATATAAATGCTCCAATGCTTAAGGATCTGGTGATCATCAAATGGGATGTTTTAACAGAGTGTAAGGCAATAAAAGCATTGATTTACAAAGAATTTTAACCGTCAAGACATAGTAATGTCAACGAAATGGATCGATAAATGCGGTACTTTCCATGCGTTTAAGAACTGCAACAGGTAACTTTAAATCCAAGGCTTGGCAATCACTCCGATTTATACTGGAAATTGGTATGCAACTTAAATAGTAAGAAATTTTAGCTCTCAATTGATACCCAAAAATGTGTTTCCCAATGATTGTAAAAAAATTGGAAGTAGAAAATACTACGCATCTAGATGAGGCAAATCCAAATCAACTCCATCAAGATGCCAGTTGTTACCAAAGTATATGATGGAACCTAGTCATCGTGATATAAAAACACCGTCATATATCTTCCACTGAAGTCAGTCTCTTACTGACATTGATTCATGTACAATAGGTGACCGCCAGGATTGCTAAAGTGTGACTTGCTAAACTCTCCTACATACTAAAACTCAGGTCATCAAGTAGGAAAACATTATGAAAGGGAGGTTTAAAACAAGTAAATACGACTTTAGAAGAAATGTAAGGAGGCACGGCGCGAATGCAAGAACTGCAAGTCAGAACCCCACAAAAAGTCTTTCTGCTTCAAATAGTTCCAGCATTTCACAGAGATCCAAAATTCCACAAACAGACCCACTGACCCCAAAAGAAGAAAAAACCTAGTAATTTTAACACTTATTTGGGAAATAACATGATAGACAGATTATGTGATAAATATATAAGCAAATTAGTGAAGTGCATTACACTCGAATACTGTATACTTCTGTCATGCACCATGTCAAAACTTTAGATTGAATCTGAGGGCGTTCAGATGCATTGGAGTTCTGAGATGGCAGTTCTTGAGCCTATTTTTGGCCTTTTCCTGTCAAAACTTATCTATTGGGTGCTTGGAATATTTGTTGTCTTTGGAAAAAAGGGTGTTGGGTCTAGTATTTTTCTTGTTAGCTTTAGGAGGAAAAATGGGGTTGCAGAAGGGTTACAGTTTTTGAGAGGGGACTTCTAAAAGAAAGAAGTACAAATTTTGAATCTTTTGATGCTGCTTCTTTTATGGAAAAATCTAGGAACTAGGAACTACCAAATGTTACATGCAGACAAGAGACTTAGTGTGTAGATTATTAGTGAAGGAAAGTTCAAAGTCTGCATATACAATGGTTTCAAAATGATCTGCCCAGAAAAAAAAGTGTAAAAAAAAAGAAGAAAAAAAAGAAAAGAAAAAAAAGTGTAAGGTCACATGGTATTCATGTCGTATATGTTGTGCTAAAACTTATACCTATCCTAACACTAACTTGACCACAATGTTTGAAAGAAAGTTTTTACATTCACCAGTGAAAGACAATGTTGGATAGAGGCTCGAGTCCTCTGGCATTCTTCAAATTGAAATAAAAGTGTTTTTCTTTTACTTAATTAACGACTAAATAAAGATAGAGAACAAAGAGTCCCATTTAACTATTTGAATATGTTACTTACACCCATTTCGGATCGGGAGATCCACAATCTGCACAGAACTTATTGCTGGATTCATGCAGCAGATTCTTTAGCCTCCCATGAGGACCTGATTAAAAGAATAGATAGCATAAAAGCCATACACAAGCTACATAAATTCTATTAAGCAAAACGTTGAAGTGCAGCTAGCAGAGAAATAATTTTATGAAAATAGGAAATCACCAAGGGTACTTCTGTAGGGACATTCCAGTGTATAAAAAACATCATACTATATGCCTAAGAAATTTCGAAAATATAATTCTCAGTAACAACACAGTGTTATGATAGAATTATTCCAATAGTTAGTTGCTACTAATTATCCTCCCCTCTTTATTGATTAACAGTCGCTATTTTGTACACGTAATATCATTTGGTTGTGAGATGAATCAAACAAGCTCCAAATGGATTAGGCATGTGGAAGATGGCCAGCAATTATAAGCAAGTAGAAGTATCTAATGTAAAATTAAGTATAGCAGAAAGTCAATAACAACATTCAGAGAAGAGATTCAACATTAACCCTTGACATACTGGAATATGTGTGGCTGTCCTTCTCGTAAGAACTCCAATGAGTTGGGGTCTCCGAACGCAAGAGGTCAAAGAGACAAGATCCTGACCCTACAAAAGCACCAGAGTTACACATATATCTCTAAGCAACTTCGAAGGGTTGGCATTCCAGCCAAGTTATATGATTTTACCAGAAATTTAAACCAGCATAATAAATTTATTTCTTGGCAACTTAATCTCTTGCTCTCTTAAAGTGAATGAGTTAAATACAGGTCCATGGTGATTGAGCTTTGATAGGCAACAAGCTATTACAAATGACATATAGTTCACATGGGAAACACACAAATCAGGGAGCACAAGTAAAACCAAAGACCAAAATTGCGTGTCCTTTCGGTCACTTCAACTGAAACAGTTCGGTTTCAGTGGGCACGGAAACAAAACCATGGTGGAAAATCAAAATTCCTGTGTTTTGGAATGTTTCGGAATCAACACTTCAAATTTTTCTCAGTATTCATTCTATTTCCGAATCATTTATGTTTTCAAGATGACCGAAAGTACTCACCAAAGAAAATTTTGGTCCTTCAGAAAAACTACTTTAAAATCACCGATACTCCAATAATTCTTGCAAATGGGCAAAAAAATCCAAGATTCCGAAAACAGCAAAGATTACAGGCACCAAGGCGTGTCATCATTAAGAAAATGTGAAGTACTTACAACAACACAATTTTTTAGAAATATCCCCCAATAAATGTGGAGAAAGGTGATATGTTTGCAAATTCTTTCATAAAAACAAACAAACAATCAATCAATTAAAACATAGCAGTACAATATTTCACACATTTAAGAGCTAATGCATGTGGCTTTCTTTAAAGAGCAAAATAAAACTACCCGGAACATTCTTCGAATTGTTATTTTCGTGTTGTATAGACATTTGAGCCTCGAAACTTCAGACACAAATCAGGAAACAGCACTACAATCTCAATGAACCCATTTTTCTGGATTCTTATCTGCATTAAACATGATGGGTGTCAAACAAAAATTCAAATCAATCAACTGCTTCACACCATATATGATCCAAAATGAATGAGAGAGAGAGAGAGAGAGAGAGAGAGAGAGAACATGTCAATAGATTAAAGAAAAAAATTGAAAAGTTGTTCTTACATATTGGAAGGAAGCTTTCAATGGTAGCCAAAATTGAATTTGAGATTCAATTATTGAATCATTACAAGTGAATAAGAGGTAGTTTCATGGATAATTGTATGGCAAAAGAATGAACACATAGAAATGTATATATATATATATATATATATGTATATAATAGGATTATATGTACAGGATTGTGTAGAGAGAAAGAAGAACGATTGAGGAAGATTAGGAGAGGGTGGATCAGAAATAGTTGCAGGTCGGAATTGGGTTAAGTATATAATAAGAATTTTTTCATTTTTTTTTCTCTAAAGGTGTATGAATGTCAAACCAAAAAGTCAAAAAGCTGGATGATCCCAATTTGGCGAGTTAGGAAGAAGCTTTTGGTGAATGGACAATTACCTGACAAAACGAACGCTTTTGGCGTTCCACTCACACGCGCCATATATGGCGCGTACGCCCACACCTCTAAGTTAGTAAGAATTAGAAATGTGCCCCCACATATTTCAATTTTTTTTCCTCACTTTATTGTTTTTTCTTTTTCATTTTCAACATGAATTTTTTTTTCTTCTCACTTTCCCCCTCCTCCTAGTTTTTGAATCCATTAGTGACAAGAAATATGTACCTTAGCATTTGATTGCTTTTTTCTTTCCATTCTAATGTTATTCAATATATTTCAGACAAATATTGAATATTTATAATATCATAAATAAATTTCTTTTGTTTCCGTTCTTTCTCCAAATCTTTTTTTCTGTGTGTGTAGGCTCGTAGGAGACTAGGGTACAAACCAATTTTGCTTATTTCTTAATTGTGTTCATTGGGTGCTAACTCAAAATTTTAAATATCTATACAAATCTATGGATAAAAACCTTCAATTCTTTGTGCAAATGATCAGAGTTTAATTGTGTTTTCCCTAAGATATGATTCACTAATTACTACTCCCCCTTTCCCTCTATCCAAATAAGCGGACTCAAGAATATGTTTTAAGGTGGACACATTTAACAACAAATTTTACTTTATTCTCTAATAGATAAAAATAATGTTATACATTTATATTTTTTATATCATATTTAATACTTAAATATACATTAAACATAAAATGGCTAAAAGTTAGTATACATAGTCTATACAAAAAAAAACTAGAAAGAGGTTTGTTATAACCCTTTATAAAAAAATTAAAAAATGAGGCTAATTATATTAATTTTCAATTGACCCCTACAAGTCTTTATATTTTGAAAGTGTTCCATGAAAACCTCATGATCAATGCCATCAAAAATGAGAATAGAGTAGGCCAAGATTTTTTTTTCTTAATTTTTTTTTTATTAATAATGCTATTTGAACTTAATTTATTGACTTATTTCATTAAATTTGTTGTGGATCTGAGCATATATTAAGGTCTACTGTCAATCCAATGATTATGAATTATTAGGCGAGTAAAATTAGATCCAAGTAGCATTACTTTTTATTTCTTAGGGTTGATTCCAAGAGATTTGATACAACCTATATTCTTTTTTTTTCTAATTCCAAGTACCCAATAGATTTGTTCTCCTCTATGATTGACCAAAAAATATATCCAATTTTACTTCATGCTAGATCGTCGACGAATAATAGGTACTCCACCTCAAGTAGAATTAGTGAGTCGTGTACTAGGCGACCATTTTGCTTGGTTCGGGGGGCACTTGAGTCAGCCACTGGCGCCTAACAACGTCTTGATCCCTATCTAATTTTTTGGGCCTAAAAGCGATGATTCACTTGTCCTCTTGTACATAAGGACGTCGTGGCATACAACCAAAATGATTCCCGCTAAATAGTCATCCCTCTCTCTCTTTTTACATTGGTAATTTTTTTTTAGGGTGAGCACTGGTCCCTGGCCCCTTGCTCCCTCCGCCCCGGTCCAATGAATATCAACTTAATCACCTTTTGTTTAGACCATAATTTTGGTGTTATTCTATGAGGTTAAAAATATATATATATATATATATATATATATATTGTAAACTACAAGAAAGACCTTTTCAAACATAAAGCAATGAAACAAATCTGATGTCCAGTAGCCAAAATAAATAAATAAAAATCGATGAAACAAACTTACATTTCAAACATAGCCTAGGTCAAAGTTGGATAAACCTAATTGTATGACCTTTTTGTACTACCTTATTCATTAGTATACCATAGTGTAGTGTTTTTCTAGAAATTGGTAAACAAACCCTCTAATTGTACTTTTTTTTCTTTCAACTATTACACCCTATGGAACTAAATGTTACACCTACATTCATGGTTTTTAACATTTGAAATTTAGACGCCAAACTCTGTAACAGAAGCTCGAAAGCCAATAGCTCATTGCTGAAACTGCTGGAACTCCAAAGTTGTACTCTACATATTCTTACGGAGGCTTGACCATGAACGAGTTCGAGTACCACCCCCCTAAGAACCCTCACAGGTGAAACAAAGTCAGAAGGTAGTCTTAGATTCTAAGGGATTTTGTATGTGTTATGTGGGAGAGGGGTACGACTAGATTTGACGAAAAAAAAATTAGTCGAGATATGCGTAAGATGAAAAAAAATACAAATATCTCTACAAAACGTCATGAAATAGTTCAAGAACAACAATGTTCTGGGGGCGAAGAACATTGATATCAAAATACAAAATATCCAAACTTTGCAATCTTTATATGTCACAATCTGTAAATAAACTCTTTTTTTTCTTTGGGTGGAAGTTCCATTCTATTATCACATAGAGCTCTGCACGTAGTTAGGGCTTGGGGTGAAGTGGGGTCCATATATGTTCACAGCTCACAACTCATGTCGGTAGCTAGTGGGAGTTTTTTTGAGGCCCCACCTCATATTTTCTCCCCCATGTATATTTTTTAATTTATTTTCTGTTGAGCTATCTATTATTATTAATGTGAAAACGATTCACTTGTATAAAACGTGTTTCATTTAAACATATAATAAATAATTCACTAAATTTTTTGTTAAAAATATATTAAATGAGACAATTTTAGTCACGCCCCTTCTAATTTATCATATCTTCAAGAACACTCCTTTAATTTCAGAATCTTCACTTACATCCCCTATCAGATTAAAGACCTTAATTAAAATATAATTTTACTAAATTATTCATGATATTTTTAGGATGTCATGAATTATTCATCTACACACCCTCTAAATAGATATATCTTCAATGAGACCCTTTATTTTATAATTTTTTTTTATGTATTAAAATTCAGATTGATTAAAATTCAATTCGAGCAGAATAAAATTTAATTCGAGCAAAATAAAATTCATTTTTAATCTGTTCGAATCAAATTTTAATCAACTTGCATTTAATTTTAATCGGCCCGAATTTGATACATAAAAAAATATTAATTGATTCAAATTTTAATACGTAAAAAATAAATTTTAATCAATTTGAATTGAATTTTAATTGACATTGATTTTAATAAGAAAAAAATATAAATTTTAATCGACTCGAATCGAATTTTAATTGGCGTTAACAGCTCAGGTTGAGCTCAAATCGACTCGAATTTTAATACGTAAAAAAAATAAAATTTAATTAACTAAAATTTTAATATGTGAAAAATAAATTTTAATTGATTCGAATTTTAATCAAATTTTATGTAAAAATTTGGTTGGGGTTTATGCAGGGACAATTTTGGTATTTTAGATAAATTTTTTTTATTAGAAATGATGGTTTAATGGCAAAGGATGTTAATAATATTTAAATATAAATTAAAAAATGTGTTAGTAATATTTTAAATACTAGAAGTGGTGTAATTAAAAATATAATAAACTAGTGAAAGTGTGACTAAATTTACCCTTTTTTTTAGGTCAGGAGGGGCTCTGAATCACTAGAAACATTTTCTCCAAAGTTAAGCAAATGTTTTGCGTGGGTCCACTGCGTAGAACCCAATTTGGGTCAAGTCAACTGCTTATGTCGACGGTCTAGTCATTCTATTGTTTATCATCGACTTAGTCGGCAGATCATTTTACCTAAACTCTTATTCAAATATAAATTTGACAAAAATATGTGAAATATAGTTTTAATCTTTTATTCAACCTTATATGAAATAAAAAAAAAACTCAAATTTATCATTTTATAAATATTTAATTATCATATTTATTTTTCATTTAAATTTGAGTTTGTTCTCTTTTAAACTTAAATTTTTTTATTAGAGCATTATATATCAAATCAAACTTTTCAAATTCAGAAGTTAACTCAAATTTGAATAACAATTTGAGAGAATACTTAAAATGGTGTTAGTCTTTGATAATAGGGTTGCCAATGAATTCAATCGCGATATATTTTTAAATCGTATAAGTTATATGGTGTTAGAAGTTAATTAATTTATATCTAAGTCATTCATATTTTTGTATAATTAGATGGGTAAATTAAACTTAATTACACCCCTTGAACTATCACCATTTTTTTTACTTTATCCCCTAAACTACTAGATTTTGCACATTACACCATAAACTATCACTTTTAATTTACATCGTCCTAATTGTAAACGTCTGTTATTTTTTTGGACCAAAATTTCTTACATGTTGGGATAAAGTGAAAAAATTACATAGTTTGGGGGAAAAATGAAATAAATTTTTATTAAATATGTAACGGAGGTTAATAATTGAGACAATGTGAAACTGGTCAAATAATTGAAGGTGCAAATGCAAAAAAAAAATGATAGTTGAGGAGAAAAAGTCAAAAAAAATCATAATTAAAGGGATCAAAGTGTAATTTAGCCTAATGAGATTCTTGTTTTTTTCTGGTCTATATAGTGTATAACTAATATTCAGTTGGGCTCACATCGATTAATGTACTTAATGACTTTGATGAGTTCAATCGATAATCATCAAATTCTGTTGAGGGGAACTGTACTTTATAACCCAAAAGATATAAAAATTTGGATAAATTATACTCACATCCCCTGATATTTGATTAAATAATATAGAGACCTCCTTACATTTTAAAATTACACAAAGACCCCCTAAATTTAAAAATCATGACACGAACACCGCTTTCGTCTTCTCGCCATTAGTTTGACTAACAGAAAATAATGATGTCAAGGAACAAAATTTGTCTAATTTCAAAATTACCCGTTTATAACATGTCCAACATTTTCTAAAACAATCTTGTCCACTAATTATCAACAATTTACCATTTTAACAACATTAATTATGCTATTATAAAAATTAATCAAAAAATAACATTAAACCATTACATTTTGATTAATAAAAAATACCATTAGCTAGGATAATTAGTGGACAAGATTTTGATTAATCAAAAATACCATCTAAGAGGGAGGGAGAGAGAGAAAGAAAGAAGGGGTTAGGAGTGATGGTGGCAGCTGGATTGGGTGTGGTGGGGTTTGTTACAGGGAAGGGGTGGGGGGGCTTGGGGGATCTAAAAGGGAGAGAGAAAATAGAGGTAGAGGGAGAATGAAGGGGGTTGGTAGTGGTGGTGGTGGCAGTTGAGTTGGGTGTGGTAGGGTTTGTTATAGGGACGGGCGGGGCCTGGGGGATTTGAGAGGGAGAGAGAAAAAAGAGGTAGATAGAGAAAGAATGAGGTTGAGAAGAGTGGTGGGGGTGGCGGCAACTGGGGTTGGGTGGGTTGCAGGGAGGGGTGGGGCATAGTAGATTTGTGAGAGAGATAAGGATTGGGGAATGATGGTGGTAGTGGTGACAGCTGGGTTGGGTGGGTTGGGGCAAGGACTAGGGGGATCTGAGATAGAGATAGAGAATGGGGTTAGGGGTTTGAAGGATTTGTGAGAAATAAAGAGAGATGAATTGAACAGTTGGTAGAGAGAAGGGAGAGGAGGATAGGAGGAGTGGCGGCGACGACGATCAGGTGGGATAAGGGATGAGTGAGAAATGGGGTTGGGGGCTGGGGGATCTATGTGTGTGAGTGTGAGAGAGAGAGGATAGGAGAGGAGGAGGAGTGGTGGTGGCGGCGACAGTCGGGTGGGGGAAAGGATGAGTGAGAATAGGAGAGATTTTTTTTTGACTTATTAATTTAATTTTTTGTAATATATTTTATTTATTATACATTTATTTTAAATTAAGTTAAAGGGTTAAAATAGTCATTTAATTTATGTTAACGCCAGTCATCTATTGACGCCGATAAGAGGTCTCTGTGTAATTTTAGAAATGTCATGAAGTCTCCGTGTTATTTAGTCAAATGTCAGGGGGTGTGAGTTTATCCTAAATATTTTCACTACTCTCAAAAATTAGATTTTTTACATTGAACACTTAATATATTAAAAATATTGTAATGTAATTCTTTTTATTAGATTATGTTTCTTATGCTGTTAAAAACTATCTCATTAATATTGACATAATGAGTAACAGAAAAATAACATAAAGTATTACGTTACAACATTTTTAATACTTTCTTGGGACAATGTGGAAAATGAATCCAATTAACATAAGTGTTTACTTTTTTGATCGAGTAAAACAAATATGAAATGTCTTGACTTGCACATACATGGACCAAAAATAATACATATCTTCTATCTAATACATAGTTCACTATTTTTCAAAAATAATAATATAGTTGTCTTTTACCATTTTTAGTAAGCTAGTAGCCTGTAATCCAACAACAAGATTACATGTAAGGTAAAATGTCATAGCTGAAAAGTATTTTAGCCAAAAATCTTAGCTTTGTCCTTATTGATGCCTGATGGGACATTTATAGAAAGGCTTTGGCCTGATGACATGTGTCCTTGGCCCCAAGACCCCTTGTTCTGACTAGCATGATCCCTCAGCTTCAAGGCATGTTCCCATAGCTCCGTGACATGTGTCCCTCGACCCCGCAGGAGGAATCAAGTATCCTCAGCCCCAAGAGTACTCACACTGGTCTTTCCCCTGGGCCCTCGTCTTCTAGGAAGGCTACCAATCGACAATTGGGCAGTCTAAACTAGATTAGGAGTTAAGAGGACATTCTGCTCAATGGAGTTAGAATGACAGAATGAACTAAACACTCAACTAGGGGGAGTCAGACGCGTGGCATAAAGTGAAAGGTGAAAGGTAAAAGGGCAGAACTACCCCTGCTGACATGCGGCTACTCTGGGCAAGTATTTAATGAATTCTCAAATGATGTGACATCCATAGTAGTTGGAATAGTCTATGATGGGGGGTATTAATTGCCCTGGATCCCTAGCATTTAAAGTCTTTGCATTGAAGAAAGGATATTAATTGCTCAGGAGCCCGAACAATCAATACTAAGACATTTTTCACGCAAAACAGGGGGCACACTGCCCCATTTTTGGACACTACCTACTGATTAGACTGTTAGCAAATGATTAGTCCTTGAAGGTATAAATAGTCTTCAAAAATACATTGTAAAAGTACGCAAAATCATCTCACAAGAGCCATATACAATGTTTTCTTCTTCTCCTCTCTCAAAAAACTGACTAGATCGTCAGAGGGGATACGTCGGAGAACACTCCAGCGCCATTCTAACTTGTTTTCTGTATTTTAGGAACCTCTTGTAGTCCACCGGCACCGTTCAGGCACCCCCTGAGACAATTCATCACCATTCTTTAGGCCTCATTTGACTCTCTCAACTCATTCCTTGTTGTCGGATCCACCATCCCAACGGATCGGAGCTCACCATAGGAGATATCTGTTCTCATTTCAACCATTGTGCAAAAAATACCCCACACAATGCCTTTGATTATACAGGCCACTAAAGGGGAAAAACTTGAACCAAGTCACTTGTATGTGCAAGATCAGCAACTTTAAGGTCAGGAAAGAAACTGGCTTGACAGTTTGCACCCTACCCCCCTTCATTTAACCAAAATGACCCTCCCTATTTACCTACTGAAAAAAAGGAAAAAAAAAAAAGCCCTATCCCTCTTATTTATCACATTGTATCAAATTTCACCTTCCAATTTAATCAAATAATAATTATTTTTTTTAACTTTGGCCAAACTTAATTTTGTATTTTGATATCGCAATTGCATGGACATTATAAACTTTTTATGCGAAACTAGTAACAAATTAATTTCAAGTTAAGTTTGAAAAAACATTTCCCTTAGGAATACACTTTGATACTATATCCTATTTTCCGATATGGTACTAAAAAATAAAAAGACTCCCTTGTTTGCCATATGTTCATAAAAAAATTACAAAAAACGTATAAATCTTAATCACCTTCACCGGTATATTTATTTACATTTTAAAATATAGATTAAAGGAGAAAACTCTTGAAAAAAATTATGGGTTTTAATGATAACTTCTAGGTGTGGTTAGCACGTTCTTCAGTGAGGTTAGCAATTTTTTTTAGTTTGGTTCCCACGTTTTGGGATTTAGTTAGCACGTTCTGGGTTTGGTTAGTGACACTTGTCAAACATAAACACAAACACTAATCATAAATTTTCCAAAAATATAACATCTCGATAGTTCATGCCTGCATAGACTAGCAAAGAGACTTTGCCACCTACATGCCAAAGAATACACGAACACAAACCTCCATGACACAGCTAAAAGAAACTAATCTAGATTAAAATCGTAGGCATAAGTTGCACATCTTACAATTCCGTCACTGTTCTTTCCATATTCTACCGGTAACCCTGAGCTTCAATTCCTTCCGGTCTACACCAGAGAAAAAAAGTGCCATGTTGCGTTGGATGATGAGACCATCAAAACTGTCACGAACCTTGCGATGGCTGTCCCTTATGCTTCTAGGCACCCCTTGCCAAGTAATCTTCCTCCCGTTCCCCCCAACCTCCAGACTGTAGCTGTAATTCTTGGCCTCATTATCATCACCCATAAACCGCAAGAATGCTATGTAGACAGGAGCCATCCCCAGCTGGAATGCTTCGAAATGCAAACAGAAATATTGACCATAGCAACTGAAGACCTAGAGATTAGAAAAAAGATAATCAGCTTATGGAGCACGCACATCCATGATAAAAGGTTATCAAGATCTGTGAGATGAATTCAAAATCAAGAAAACTAATATCCAGACAAGCATGGAAGTGAGCATGAAATCACATAAGAGCATATATCGCCATGTTTGCAGGGGAAAAAACAATGGGAAATCTCTGAAAGTTGATTGATTCAGATTAAACAGTACGCTGATTTTTTTTTTCTAATGTCATTAACAGGTTAGTCTTGCGCATCAAATAACAAATTGTATCTAAATCAGGACTCTCCACTCTTCTGTCAGAATTTAGCAACATGGGAGAACAGTTGGAACAGCACCTCCATACATTACTTGTGCTGTGATTGCTGTCAAAACATACTGGTGCCCTCATCAGCTGAAAGAAGGCGAACATCGAAGCCTTTTAATACAACTTAAAAACCAGAGACTTGAAAAAAAAAGTATTACCGTTAGCATCCATGTTGCATTTTCCACCTCGTGAGGATTTGATTTGACATAACGATGGTTGAAAGTAGTGCCACTGTGCATATCAACTTTGTGATCATCTTTTAGATGAGCCACAAGAGAAGGAACATCGCCAATGACCGTGCACTCTGATCCAGCATAGGGGCAATTATAGGGTCTGAAAACGCATTGGGATTCATGTTTTACCTTGCTGTAATACGGGTAGATGCCAATGCACCCAAAACTCTGATATTTACATGGAAGTTCAAGGGATGCAGCCACTTTCTCCAATGCAAGACATCTGATGTTGCCAAGTTCATGCCTGCAAGTTGGGCACCGGTTGTGCACCCTAGGCTTGCAACCAGAACATAATGTGTGACCATTAGAACACTGCAACAAGAACCACCAATTAAAAATAAGAATGATTTTCATAACAGAAACAAAATGATAACTTGTTCAAACAACTTACCATAAATGTGAAAAGGATGCATTAGTTAAAAAAAAAACCAAGAAATTAGTTTTTTGGTACTCATTCCAAAACAGCAACTTACAATAAACTGTTTAAAGTATAACACTGCCATAATCTGAAAGTTGGTCTATACTACAATCAACCGACTTGAACTCATCTTATTTCTTTTCAGAAAGATTGCAACCTGTTGCCATTTCAAATTTGTGAACACAAATCTAAATGTATGTATGTATTTCAAATAGCTTGATATACTATGCCTTCATAACATTTCAAAAGGATTTCACAACATTTACACGGGGGAAATCTTTTCTTTGACACATCATTTGGCAATCTAGAAGTTTTACTTCAATCCGAAATCCAATATAAATCAAGTAATCTTGTGGTCTGAATAAAATCATCCCCTTCTTTTGCCCGTGGGACAGTTAAGATAGCCTGTTCGTTGCAGTTTAGCATGCAAACCAAGCTCAGATGTTGCGTACCCATAGGTTGCGGTAGGTACAATGTTGACACCTTGTACAAAGAACCACATAAGAGTAAAAGAGGGAAATAATTCAAAAAATGCACAAAAATTCCTGGTATGGAGAAGCTATCATTAAATACGTAGCACCAATTGCAATTGAACAGAGCAAATTGACACCATTGATAAGAATCTATTACTCTTGTCTAATATATCCTTTCCTGCATTTACCAAATTTCTAAATTCAGTAAAAAATTACCGATTGATGAGTCAAAGCTCAATTGCCAAAGGACAAATAGAAAGGTAACCCTTAACCTTAGAATACTCTGTGAAGAAAACTTTAATACTACATCGCAAGATTAAGACAACCCAATATTGGTTTAAATTGTTGAGAGATCTCTCCATTCGTTGCCAATTGATTTTTATGTAGCCTTCGAAGAGGGTACCAAAGTTGAACTATTGGAGGCTTTTGGGCAATGCACAATATTTCATCCCTTTGTGCGATAAGTACACCTTTTTATATTCTAATCCCATCTTTCTAATCTTCTGTCTAGCTCTACACGTGCAAGTGGGGGTCCTACGTGCTGGAGTGTTAAAATTTGTTCCACATCTATCAAATAAAGGATCACGAACTAGTATGTGAGCCTTATGAGATTCTCCGCCCAATACCGATTGGTTTTGTTTTTGATGCTTTAACATGATACCAAAGATAGGTCTTGAGTGGTCAACTAGCTAAGTGTCTAACCCATTTGAAATTATCCCGTATGTTTGTTTGCATTTTTTGATTGCATGTATTATTCCACAGGCAAGCCTGACTAGCACGTGGGGGAAGGTGTGACAAGAGTTATACCCTACATTGGTAGATTAGGGCAGTGAATTTTTTAATTTTTTATTTCTGTTTAGGGGTCTTTCCACTCATTTGTAATTGGTTTGGGGTTGGATACCTCTAACATACTCACTAGCACAACCTTTTAGGAAATTGACATTGAGCAAGTGAAGGGGTCATTGTGTGACATCTGAAAAACAAACCCTTAATTTACAATCAAAAAAATAAAATATATACGATTCAAAATTCACAAAAGCTACTCTATGCAATAAAAAGAAAACCAAAATAATAACTTTGAATCTCCGTAACAAGATCCCTTTCTGTGACAGTGAAGTACACATTACTAAAAGGCTATAAACACAACATAAACTGGTTTTGGCATTTTCATGCCTTTCTCGCAACTACTCTTTTTCTTTAAAACACTAAACATGCTAATACTAGCACATACTAAACTTTCCAAGGAAAAAAAAGAAAGAAATCCAGTAGAACAAACTAGAGGTATACAAACGTCCCCAAAGAGAAAGATGCTAACACACACACAGAGACCAATTATACATATGGCTTTCAAGAAATAAAAGGAAAACATGATGAATGAAAGTTCGAAAAGACAATTACACAATAAGGCCAGAATAAATTTTTGGAACCAAGATTAACGTCAATTCGCATATTTTCCTTGTTTCCTTCATGTACATGATGCATTTTTCTCATGTATATGATGGCCAACAAAAATAACCAACCATAAATAGAAAACTAATGTTCATTGAAACTTGCAATAACAACAATCAAGTGTTGCTTGCATACAAAAAATTAATGTCACGGAGCTAAAACTAAACATAGTGATACACAAAAAAGGAATAAAACACGAAAAAGAAAACAACTAAACATACACAACCAACCATATTTCCTATTAAGGAAATATGCAAAAACATTCACCAGCATCATAAATAAAATGCAATTCATGCCAGCCAATCTAAATCAAACCTGATGTATAGGAGGGTACATAGCATTTAAGCACACTGGGCATTCCAATAGTTCACGAACACTGCTAGAGACAGTCACATTAGGCTTTAGAGCACTTTGAGCAGTATCATTCACATGTTCACCAACATCCACCATGTCTTCATTTTGGGTAGGATCAATGACCTCGGGCTTACTTCGCAGGTCCTCAAAGTATGAATTCGCAGTTGACATTGATTGTATGAACAGTTGTTCACTTTATATGCCAAAATATATCAATGATGTCAGAAACATATAGTTGACCATCTAACAACTGATAACCACCAGAGATAGAAATATTACTTAAAATAGGTATTAATCATCAAGTTTGCATATAGATTCACTAACAAAGAACTTGCTAAAATTCATCTGACCTACTAGGCTCCTTGGATGAAACAAAAACAATTACACATTTTTAAAGTGATGCCAAAGTTACTATCTAGCATATGGACTCACCATATTCAGGTAAGTCCAAGTGAATCGTGACTTGTCACTTAGAACATGATATCCTTGACCTAGTTGTCACTGGTATATCTATCGTCTAGCATCTGCTCATTACAAGAAATAACCATAATGAATCATTTGGCCTATCTCAGCTCAGGAGGTACTTGCGTGCAAGTGCAACAAAGAAATCATGTGAAATGCAACTACAAGTATTGGCACAATTTGATCTCATCAATGCCTCATAGGCACTTATTCCCTTCATTAGCACTAATTTCTCTCTGAGGCACTTATTCCATTCATCAGCACTCAACCCTTAATTGAAAATCTTACTTCCAACCCCTTGGGGGCTGTAGATAAACTTAAGCAACAGCTTCCTCCTCTAGCACACTAAGGAGGAAGTCATAAGCAATAGTAGTACAACTTAAACTATAAATCTATAAAGCAATAGTTATAAACCAGAAAATAACAGTCACGTAATTGCATCCCTTGTTAAACAAAATTTTAAATTAAATGAGAGATTGGATAATTATGTGCGGATGGTTGGGGCAAGCCTAGTATCCCGATGGTTAGCCATGATAAGCATGATAAGCACCTAAGGCCCACACCCATCCACCTATGATACCATTTTTGACAAAGTTATCTGAACAAATAAAACTATAATGCCTGTTTCAAGTCAGCTATATACATATGACAACTTTCCTAATTGATCAGTAGTTTGTCAAAACTTCTCAACACAAAACATGTATTTGATCTGTGATCAGATACAAAGTGCATTATAGAGTTCAAGTGATCACAAAAAGTAGAGATGGCAGTGGACCTGAAAAAGATGGGTATTCGTTCAAACCTACCCCGTTTGGACCGGTGATGGATCATACGTATTAGACAATAGACGTATACGGGCATCCCGTATAAACCTGCACGGGAATGGACTGACACTTACCCCCGCCCCCGCCCCCGCCCCCGCCCCCGCCTCGACCCGAATAACCCGAGATATATATATGTATAAGATCATAAACCCTGATCCCATTCCCAACCTACCTATAAAGTTAATTTCAAAATTCAGTGGCCCACTTTTTTTTCTTTGTCTAATAAGGCAACATCTATTATCTTTGTGTTTTTTTTATGACTTTTGTTAGATCTGTGACCCTTTTTGTTAGATTTGTGATGAACTTTGTTAGATCTAAGGGTCTGTGTTGTGTTAACTATTGATGATTTTTGTTTCGGATCTATAGTGTGTTAGATACTAGGCTTTTAGATGTTGCTTGTTCTATTTTTTTTTTTTTTGGTGTTAAATTTATAATTTTTATATGCTACATCTGATTTTCTGTGTTAGATATGCAATATTTTGAATTTTCTAATTTTATGCTACTTGAATATAGTTTTTGTTGAATTCTGAATATAGTGTTAAATATGATTTTTGCTGATTTTTGAGTTTATTCTACTTGAATATGATTTTTTCTCTTTGAAAATTGTTGGATAAACTTTTTACTTGTTGGATAGATTACTTACTTACTTAGTATACTAAATGCTAGTCTTTATTGATGAGAAGAATTATGCGGTAATTTTTAGTTTGTGACATGCAATTTTTTGAATTTTTTGGATTATTTATAATGTTGGATTATGTTGGGCTTGGGCGGGGGGGTGAAGGCGAGGACGGGGTGGCGATTACAAATTTACCCGTGTACGGGGATGGGATGAAAACTATACCTGTTAACGGGGGCGGACAGGGAATGAACGGAGTTTTTTTAACCGAGTATAGGGATGGAGACTACACCCCGCCCCCCTTCGGTCCCATCCCTAACAAAAAGGGACAAATATGGTACATAATGCCATGTTCATGAGGAGGATTAAAAAGTTTCTATACTATGTGTCCATGTTAGACATATTAATTGCATCCATGTCACGAAAGGAATATGAGGATGCCTCTATATTTAAAATTAAATCAACTGCGGGAAGCCAAAAACCAGGTCAATTTATCCAATTACTGTATCAGGTTGGCCAGACACTTTTACCACTTCACAATTCAAACTCACAAGTAGAATTGTTTTTTCTTTTTTTCTAAAATAATTAGACTTCTAACTCAGAACCATCATTCCCAGTCAAATCCATTACAAAAACTTACACACATCAAAATCCAGAAACACTAGGTACTTCCAATTGTAAGGTGAATAACCACTTAACTTCTTACAGAATCATGCCATATCTAGAAGCATTACCCGAAGTACCACCACAATACATGAAGATCCTAAGAGCCTAAACCCAAATTTGTTGACTACAATTTGGGCTCACCTTTTCTATTTCAATCAAGGACATCAAAACCCACATTGCTGAGTGAGGCAGGCATATCAAGGCAAGTACCAAAAAGGGTATCCGAATGAAAAATAGAAACCAATTGAAAAAAATAAACCCTCAAATACCATGTCATTATGGAAATTCTGACAAAAGCCATCATAACACATCGAGAATATTCTATGAAAAAATCAATCCACGAACAATTCACGCAAAATCTGATTAATCTCTCAAAAATCAAAATACGCAGAAAGGAAACAAAACAATCCAACACATACATGGAATGAGAGATTTGAAGAGAGAAAGTACCTGAATGGGCGATTCAATCAATGATCCAGAAGAAGAGAAACACAAACCCTCAAAAGGGCCTTGTCGTCTCTAATGATTCGGAAACATATACCAATACGCGTATGTAGGTAAATAACAGAACTAACTAAATGGGTATCACTGAAATTTCAAATTAAAGTCTCCTAAGAGAGAGAAAACGAGGAGAGCGTCCGCGTGTGGGTAGAAAAAGAGGTTTCTCGAGAAAATACAAAAAGGAAAATTTCAAAAATGTGGGTCCTAGTCTGAACTTCAATTCATCGAAGATTCACCGAGAAAATCGAGAGAGAGAGAGACAGAGAGAGATCAACGGCGGTGAGTGTCAATTGGGATTTGGATTTAAAAGAGGAGAGAGGAGAGAGGAGAGAGGAGAGAGGAGAGAAATACTGTAGACGGCATTAATGGTGTCACGTTTTCAGCAAGTTTGAAGGGCCCACCTAGATTACCAGAACCTGTCTGCCCGTTTATTGACGCGCCTACGTTTTTCGGATAATAACAATTACACCCCTTCTTATTTCTCACAGTTTTACTGCATGCCCCTCTATTGTCCTAATTACAATGGATCTCTTAAGACATGACAAACTTGTAACATATCCCCCCGAATCAAAATTTAGTAAAATTATTAATGGCTTGAACTACCAATTCTACCCTCAAGAAGAAAAATCAATTTTTACACCTTGTATTTTTTTTTTCTCTTATAAGTGTAATTGGACAATAAGATTTTTTTAATATAAATGATAAAAATTACGAAGAATTGTTGATGGATTCACTATAAAGAACTTATATAACTTTAAATATACAGTTTAGATTTTTCAGCTTTTAAGTTTTTTACGGCCTAAAGCTGTCATCAGAATAACATTTTAGTTTTTTATATTTTTGTATTACTAAATTACCCTTATCTTAATTCATGACTAATAAATTGATGATTTTCTTATTTTCAGGTATGTTTAACTGTTATAAGAGATTTTTCAAACTGATGTGATTTAGAAACCATTCGAAAATTTGATGTTCAAAATCTTTGTTACAAGTAACCAAAATTTATCTTCTTCAGTCATTACATTTTCTTAAAACACTAACATAATTTTTTCTTTAGCCGTCGATTTGATGAAATCGAATGTTAATTTGATATTTTTTTTTTATAAATTGAATCTCAATTGGATAAAATTAAATGTTAAATTCAAAGATTTTTAATGTTAATTTGATAAAATTTACTGTTAATTTTGTGTTAATTTGATGAAATTAAATTTTAAAAAATAAAATTGCAAGTTAATTTGATAAAATTGATTTTTAATTTAATGAATTGGATATCAATTACATGAAATTGAATGTTAAATTCATGAATCAATATTTTTACCATCATATTGGTTATATTTAATACTCCTTCCGTTCCTAAATATCTGTCATTTTATATAATTTTTTTTGTTCCATAATATCTGCCGTTTAATGAAATCAAACCATAATTAATATTTTTTCTTTCTACCCTTAACTTTTCAATGCATTAGATTTGGTTGGGGTTAAGTGTCTTTCATATTTTTTTTCCTTCTCAATACGTATTGAATAAAGATATTTTAGTTTTGTGCAATTATTTTTTACCTTTATTAGAGTTATTTAATAGTTTTTTAATCTCTGTGCAAAAACCTTAAACGACAGATATTTATGAACGGATGAAGTATCATTAAGGACAGAGCAATGCTATTGAGACATAATTTGGGGACATAATACATTGTTATCAATAGAGTGACAGTGGAATGCATTTAATGTTATAATGAGTCCCATCATTAAATGCATTCTCTAATCAACTTATTGGTCACAATACATTATATCTCTAAATTATATCCCTCAATTATGTCTCAATAGCATAAATGTTAAGGATATTATTACCACTGTTGTGGTAAAATTTACTAGAATTGTGGGTAATTTACCACAATTAAGGACAGGTTTACCACTTTTGAGGGTGAGTTTATCACAATTGTGAATAAATTTACAAGTTTAAAGAAGAATTTACGACTTCTTAGATTAAAATTACGACAACTTTGAGTAACATTATGAATATAAATGGTGAATTTACTCATAGGAGTGAGTTAAGCTAAAATCATGGGGATGAATTTACCATAATTGTGGTAAAATTAAATCAGCAAAGAAAAAATTTACTACAGTTTAAGGTTAAATTAGAATGATTGTGAATAAGATTACTATTATAGGTTAATTTTACTTTCATTTTGGTTAATACTATGATAATCGTGTATAATAATACAAATTTTACGGCAAATGTATGACATCGGTGAGATGCATTAATGTCGTATTTATGACAAATATATATTATTAATAAAAGTATCTTACATAAAAAATTTTAATTTACTATTTTGCCCTTCTAAAAAACTACAAAGACTAATATGTCCTTTTACATTTAATCATCCAAATTATCACCATTACATCCTTAATTATTTGAATATCCAAATTTTCCTCCAACAACCTATGTTTATATTTATACTATTTTTAAATGTCAACAACTAAGAAATTTTTTTGAATGGTAATAATCTACAAAATATTTAACCACAAGACTATTTTTTTATATTTTAATTTCATTATGCAGTTTAAATTATAGGCAATGTAAAAAGTGAAATAACAAAACAAAGAACATCAATTTCTAAAGTCTCCCCTTGTAAATCTGTCAATTCGATGGTTAAGAAAGCTGTTCCGATATAACCCATATTGATATATTCCCCCTATCATTGAAATTCATTCGCAACGTCTCCGCTTCTTTTGAAAAATCCAAGAAGGCAGTAAGATTTGACTTGTAAGAGCATCACTTTTAAAAGCTTAGAAGTTAAACCGCCACGACAAGATTCCAAATAGTTTAACGTTTGATATTATTAGAATTCCAGAAATCAGTTAAAACAATTAACTCTTTAATTCTCTGTTGATATTACTAGAACTCCAAAAGTACCTCAAATAATAAAAACTCTTCAACTCTTCATCTCATGGAAATATAAAACTATTGAGTAGCGAGGACAAATCTTAGCCTAAAACTTCAATTTTATTCTCTCTTTGGGGTGGCATGTTCTCCTAAACAAAAAAATGAAAAAGGAGAAGAAGAAGTTCGATTGTCATTAGAAAGAGAATTATAACCTAACAAGTCGGAATTTGAAAAAGAAAATGTGCAAAACAAGATTTCTACCACTTCCAACAACAAGACAATCCGGCACCAAAGAGCCTTAGGAGACCAATAATACTATTACGGAGAAGGAGTGAGCAAAGAACCTTTATAGATATTGAAAATTGACAAGCAATGCCATAAAAGAAACCACTTATTTCCTCATGTGTTGCAAGCGTTGACTGTAAGTAGTGTGCAAGTGTTAGTTATGCTTGAGATGTGTCTGATTTGAGTACCAAAACCATACAGTACAAAAAGAAATTGACACGTATAATTTTTTTATTTTATTTAAATTTGTTATTTTTACGATTAATGACTACAAATATATTAGATCAAGATCTATAAATTTAAATTATTTTTAATATGGTACTGAAAATGTCTTCAACTCTATAATCTTTTTCTTTTGTGAGTAGTGTTATGTGTTTATAGTTTTGTAGTGTATGATGTGAGGCTTGACTGATATTTAGCACTTCACGTTGTATGTTGTTCAATTTTATTATTATTTTTTTGTAATTCTACTTGCAACATGTCATGACAACATATATTTGTGACTGTTTCATGACATTGATCTCCTCCCTGAGCATTGACAACACGACCACCATTGCAATTTATCAAACTGTAACTATGACAAACACAACCATTTCAGGACCCAAATCAAGTTCACTATATAGGATGTATGTCTCTCTTTCATCCTTGTATATTCGTGTATATGAAAATTGATAATTATAGTTGTAGTATTCAAAAAAAATTAAAATATTTTGATAACGGTTAATGGACAGAAGGTCCCACAAGTCTTAGTTAGGCCTCCTCAAACTAGTCATATCACGAGATGAGAGTTTCGACAACACCTTAGAAAACATAGTGAAGCCAAAGAAGCATGAATGCCCAAATCATAAAGAAAAAGAGTGTCACCGCACTAGGTTTCAAGAGCTAGTCCGGTCAATATTAAATGAGCACTTTTATATTGTTGTATGTATATTTCTTAAAAACACAATTTATATGGAAAATTATATAAGGTCGTCAAGAGTATTCAATATTAAAGTCAAGAATTATGAATACATTTTTTGTAAACTATTTTCTCAACTATATGCGTTTTTATAGTTCCCTTTAATTTATATAGACCGCTTATAATTAGAACAATACTTTTATTTAAAGTTACCATGATACCAAATCTTAATTAATTTCTTATTCATAATCTACAAAAGTAATAGAATAAAAATAAAAAAACTCATATTGTAACTTATATGATTCACATGCAATGCATGCGTGCAATATCTAATTTGATTAAAGGTGTCAATCATATTTTTACCACTATATTGGTTAGATTTAATATCATTAAGGATAATATTACCACTATTGTTGTAAAAATTTATCACTTTTGATGATAATTTTACCACAATTATTGATAAATTTATAAATTTAGAAGAGAATTTATGATTTCTTGGGTTAAGATTATGATAACCTTGGGTAACATAGATTAGTATGCCATCCACAACTGTAAAATTAAAATTATCACAGTTTACCCACAACTGTGATAATTTTAACCAAAATAGTTGCAAATTTGTCTAATATAGTAGTACCTTTACCTACAATTGTGATAATTTTAACTAAAATAGTTATAAATTTGTCCCATATACAAGTAACTTTATCCATAATTGTAGTAATTTACCCAAAATTATAGTAACTTTAACCAAAATAATTGATGTATACCACTGTATTATTTACCCAAAAAGGGTGGGAGTGGTTACCGATTTTCCCCATTGGACAATATACAAAATTAAAAAAAGAAGAATCAATGGTCTCATCAATTGCTTACAAAACTCATCCACGACTCTAATGGACTTCAATACCGTAGTGTAGTCCCTATACTCCAATACTAATATGAAGGTGTGTTTGTTTTAGTTATTAGGAAAGAGGGATTGGAAAAATAATGTTGGGTCCATTTTATCCCTCGTATACTCATGTTTGGATACATATTTTGGGCCTCGGTATTATCACCTAAATATAATATCAGCCCAGATAAATATTGTATTTAATATCACCTACATCATCTTAAATAAACCCACATTTTTTGTCTGCGACGGAGGCAGTGGAGGCAATTGCCCCTTCTGAAATTTTGAAAATTTTTAGGGTTAGTTTAAAATTATAATAAAAATTATTTTTTTCTAATAACTTGCCCCCACTTATTTTTTCTAATCAACAAACTCAAAGTTCGCTTATTCAGACTTAATCTCATAACTTTTTCTTTAATCTC